CAGGATGATGCCGGAATTGAAAATTTGCCCTTGATCTGGTGCTTGAACATCCAGCATTGGAATTTGTGCCTGGATGAGGAGGGAACAGTAAAAAATTCAAATTTTAAAATAACTGGAAAAAAAATTAGTGATTTTAATTTATATTGAGTTTCAAGTAACACAAAGACTTTGTGAATATAAAAAAATTTGTTTTAAATTCAGCTTAAAATATCTCCAAAACTTTGTGAATTGAGGAAATAAATTTTATTTCTTCAAAATGCCAAGGAGTTAAAGTGAGAGGTTTCATGACATGAGGTTTTAAACTTCCATAGAATTTGTGATTTGAAGAACTCAATTTTGGGCCTGAATTGGAAGTTTGGCTGAAATTGGATTCATAGCCCGAATCAGAGTTAAAGTGAGGTTTTGAAGTTCCATGGAGTGAATTGAAGAATTCAAAGTTATTTCTTCAAAATTATCATTACTGTTTTCTAAGCTGGGCCAGAGGTCACTTTAGTTTTGGGATGGAGTCTCAATTAGCCCTACACAGCAATCAACTTAAAATTGTGTATGGAGTGTGGCTTTTAAGCTAGTGTTAAATATGAGAGATTAAGTTTTAATGTCAGCAACTCATAGCATTAACAACAAATCTCACTTTCAATCTGCAGATAACAAAAAAAAAAATTCTTCACATCTGGAATTAATTTTTGGCAACAAACATACCGGGCAAAAATAATTGTAGTCAAAGAAACAGTTTTTCTTTCAACACAACTATTGTAAACACATGAAACTGGCTTTATGCATTTTCTTTATCCTCAAGAATTGACAACAAAAATATGAAACACTGTTCACTTAATGGATTGTTTATTTACAAGGGGGAGGCATGGTGGTGTAATGGGTAGCTGCTCAGACTGAGAAATTGAAGAGCAGAGTTCAAATTCTGGTCGAATTTACTTACATACAAATACTCTTAGGAAAGGTATGAATCCATCTCCTCTCACCACCCCCACACACACACCAGTTATAGGTGAATAGCAGCACAGACAGGGTCCTATAGCATTGGGTGGCAACTGGTCTAGGAGATGGACAACTCTGAATTCAAATATTTTCCAGGCATTTCTTTCATTTTTTTCTTGCCACATAAATTCACGAAAATAAATTGGGAGCATCAGAATTTACATATTTTTTTTCCTCAAGAACTGACAAGTTTGTAGGGACATTATTATTATTATTATTAATAATAATAAATAAAAATATAAAATAATAATAATGAATATCATAAATAAAATAAAACAAATAACATTAAAAACTTTGTTTAAAATAAATTAAATAAACCAAAATAATAAAAGTTCTCCCAGAATGCAACAGAAACTTTCCCTGCTTGAAAATGGACTTCATGACAAAAACTCTGAATTCAGTCTCTCTTGCTACTGACTGTTGGAAGGTCAATACATCCATCTCCTCTCCTTGAAATATTACCTGTTATAATACGGAGTAACTTCTTCCTTTTAAAACATTCAACCGTAAAACACTTGTAACTAAAATACACACACCCTGGCACACAAAATAAATAAAATTGTAGGATTTTAATTTACAATTCAATATGCTTTTAGTATTTTTTCAGCAATGTGAACACAAGGCTATTCCTGCTGGTATGATGTAAGTGACACCCACATCATTTGGTGACCACCAACACGTATAAAAATCATCCTATTTACGCAAAGTTTCCCCTACAAAGGGGACGCAGGTTCAATCTTTACTAAGATTTCTTGAATGCACAGTCTAATACGCACAATGTGGCATCTATTTCAAATATGAAGTGTACACTATAACATTTGAAGAAATAAAAATGTATGTACAGGGAGTTTCACAATGTTTTAAAAATGAACAGGCACAAATCAAGGACCACAATTGATAGAGTAATGGCAATTACATTTATTGAAAGGTAAAAGGACAACATTTTAGGATCTGCAAGCATTTAGTCTCAAACATGGACCAAAAATGTCAAGAGGACCCCTAGAGTACATGCTCCAGATGTCGATCATTCAGTTAAAGGCAGTGTTGAATGTAAAGTTGTTAATATGGTTTGAACATTCCTCCTGGTTGATCGCTTGAATCTTCACAGTGATGGCTGCCTTCAATACAGCAATGATGTGAGGGTTTGCCCTGGTAGATGTTGTCCTTGAAGAACCCCTAGAGGAAGAAATCTGGGAGAGTGGGGTCAGGTCAAGCAACTGAGGTGTCCATTTCACTTCAACATTGTGGCTGATGAGACACTCCCCAAACTTTTCACAGAGCCATGTCATGGTAACATTGTATATAATATTGAATTCCTTTTAGAGGGCTCAGAATACAAAGCTATTTTTAAAAATCTAAGAAGAATGCAAAGGAATTGAATCAGTTCAGCATGTAGAAATCACTAGAAATGCTAAACTTAAGACAACACAGACAGAAACACCATTGTTTTCTGCTCGCCTGCATTTATTTATTTTACGGTTTCCTATACAAGTTCGTGTGTGCAAAACAACTAATTTTCTTCTTTCTTTTTGCAATTAATTGCTGTGTTGACTTTCAATACAAAAACAACAATAAAAGATATCAAATGTAAAGTAAACACAGTTTTTAGGAAGGGAGCTAACTCGGGAAGTATTTCCAGGATCCAAGGAAAAAAAAAATATTTTGCACTAAATAACAATATAAAGTTGTATCAATATGGGTTATATATATATATATATATATATATATATATATATACACACACACACATGCACACAAAGTACTCTAAAAATTCTCAGTCTGACCAAGTAGACCTTCAAGACATTAAAATCTGATGTTAGGTCATTCTGTCACGGTAACATTATTTTGAGATGTGGGATGGGACGAGAACATAACAGCAATTTTTTTTTTTTTTATAAATGAATTTTCAATTGATTTTATCCTGATAAAATAAACTGAAGAATCAATGAGGTATCATAAAATAGTTTTCAGTATGACAACTTAAAAGTGAATTAAAATCTAATTACATGGAGCAGGTAGTTTGTTTTTACTGTTGTAAAAAAAAATTCAAGCAGAAATTTATATTGATTGAAATTGATTTTCATTTTTTTTTTAGTAACATCGACAAAGTCATCCATTTTTGAGACATCTGTAAACACAAGTTAGTTCACGGTTTTAAAAATAATTATCAATAGCTTAGTAATTTTATTTTTTACGTGAATATTCAACCATCTTCTTAGTTGAGTTGAGACTAACATTCAGTTTTTTGTTCTGTAACCTTCAATAAGGCCTCTTTATCTTCCAGCTGGTATTTTCAACCATTTTTCTGTTCCAAATTGTTAAGATTTGGTTGCTGGCATGACACTGAACAGCAATTTTCCGTTCGATTAGATTTAAAAAAAAAAAAAAAAAAAAAAAAAAACAAATAGCAAATATGACAATTTAATTTAACAATCTGGGACAGAGGCAAGGTGCAATGGATAGCGACTCGGATTGAGGAATTGGAGAGCCGAGTTTGAATTCCATTCGAATCCATTACATTCACTTATGAAAGGTATGAATCCACATCTTCTCCCTCCAGCAGTAAATAGCAGGACAGGCAACTGGTTTACCGTAGAAAGAAATGGTGACCTACTGCAGGGAAAAAAAAAATCTGCCTCGTCAGTCATGTATCAAAAGATACATGATCTCCTAAGCGTCTATCATGCATGGCACATAACTGATCAGGGAAGTGTTAACTAACAGATGACGGAAAACAGGAAAACCAAAATCTAAACGTACATTGGAATAGCAAAATATGCCTTCTGAAAACTAAACAAAGCATTAAAAAACGGGAAAATTTCATTAAGAGCAAGGGAAAGAGTTCTGAACTACTATGTAATATGAATTTTCTGATATGACAGTGAATGATGGACAATTTCTTCAAAGATGAAGAGAAACACTCGTTCTATACTACAAAAGGAGGCTACGAATACGATGAATGGTAAGTGAGAGCAATGCGGGAATTTTAAGGAAAATGGAAACAAATACTTAATATCTGAAAGAGACAATTGAAATTTGTTAGACACACAATAAGGAAAGAATACTTGGAGAATTTAACACTCGCAGGACATACTGAATTCAAGAGGGGCAGAGAAAAACAGGAAGTAAGTTTGTGTAAACAGGTGACAAGACAGGGAAAGGGAAAGACAGTGAAGGGCTAAACATTGCTTAGAGCAACAAATGATAAGAAATTGTGAAACTCACCCTGGTCTGGACAGGACATGATATAATTATTTACCCACTGCCCACACAGCAAGATGTGGCACAAGGCAGAGTTTTAAATTGGGGTATCCAAGCCCGTAGGCTTGGGCAAAAATTCCCTATAAATCACATGTGCCAGGTAAGTATGTGCCAGGACATGGTATATAAAACAAGCACAATAGCCTAACGGATTAAAATGTTGGTTCATGAATTTGGTGACATAGTAATTGAGTTCAAACCTTGGGCTAAGCAGTGTGTACTTGCATTCAGTGGAAGCAGGCAACCAATAACTGAGCATCTAAGAACTAGATGAGATATCATTAGACATAGGCAGTGGAATGAGAACAGTCTACCCCCAGAGATTAAATGAAGGGTTCAATTCAGAATTCCCAGTAAGTTACCTAGATCAATATATATCTGAGTTTTTTTTTCCAAAGCATAATACTAGCAAACAGAACTCTGCCATAATTCAAATAAGGGAAGGGGGTCTGGTTAGTCGGTTGTTTTTGTTTAGCATCCTATCAACCCATGTGTTAGTGAATGCTGAAATCTAAATATTTTGTATGCAAATTTACTTTATTTTATTTTTTTTTTTTCAAATAATAATGGTTTTAGTGATACAAGTCTTACTAATTAACCCATAGCTGGAGGGAGAAGAGGTGGATTCATACCTTTCCCAAGGGTATTTGCATATAAGTGAATATAATAAACCCAGCTGGAATAGAACTCGACTCTCCAATTAACAATTCCGAGCGATTATCCATCACACCACCTGCACATCCAAGCTTACAACACCTGGTATCCCCAAGCAGTCACCCATCTAGGTAGTGACCAGGTTCAATGTTACTTAACTTCAGTGATCGTACAGGGGAACCAATGTTTCAACATGATATGGCCATAAGCCTAAAATGAGGAGAAAACAATTTCAGTGGTTCAATACAAAAGAAAGAAAGAAAAAAAACAAAAAAGGTGAGCTAACGGGGTTATCACTCCTGACTGAATCTGGACAACGTTTCCTTCCCAATGTGATTTGCCTTTAAAATATATCCACATAAGTACAATATTGATACAGTGTAATTTCTATCCCATGTTTTCTTTTAGCCAGTTGTACACAGATAATTTTATTTTTTCTTGATCGAGTTCTGACAAATAAGGAGCGACAGCCGGTTAGCTCACCTCTTTCCCTCCTGTTCTTTCTTGTTCTCTCTTCTTTTGTATTACACTACATAAGTCATTCTCCTCACTTTTTACCTTCATTTCAATTATGCCTGTCCTGTTTGCTATATTTAAATTTTGTACCTCCAACAAGATCTCCAAACATACCATTGCTGATCATATCTTGAAAGTTCAACTTTTAATTTGTCCACTCAAATAACTAATGTTACGAGGATGCATTTCTATAATAAGGGATTCCACTGAGTTCTACTTGTTATTACAAAAAAGTTTTCATTCATGAAGTAGTTGTAAAATAGAGAAATTAAAAATAGAATGTTTGGTAGATTCTAGATCGTTCTAGTATATTCGAGAAAAATCTAGAGGATTCGAGAAACATATAGAAATATGCAAATTAGGTGTTAGCCCCTATAAAAATGGGATTTTGGAAAAGGGTTTTCAGTTGATGAATGGGAATTTCTGCTGTTATCAACTCCGGCTTTTGATTCAAGGACTATTATATCCAGCCGAAAGAATCTCTATAAAAAGTTGCCGACCAACAAAAACCCAAAAGAGAATTTCATGGAACAAATCTGGTAAATAGAATTTTGACTAATTTTCATTGACCAAACTAAAAATGAATATTTATTTACACACCTTTGTGGATTTCCAAATATAGCACTTTGATTACTTCACTAGCCCCAAAGTGATAAAGATATTTCCTTTCCTTCTCCCTTGTAACACTTCGCCAGTAACTCTGTGTTTTCTGTTTTGTAGGCCACAATTGTTTATCTTGTATATATTTTATGTTGTGTTTTAATAAATTAAATATTTGTTTGTGATTTAGCTCTGTGTTGTGGTAAATCTTTTTTTTCTTTTGTTACAATCAACACGTAACACTATATTCAACTTATCCAGAAACATTAAACAAGCCTTTTTATGCATTTTCTTCAGTCGTGGCTTCTTCCATGAAATCCGAGTTAGTTCAATGATCTACATATTGTTGAGATGCTTGCATTACTTTCAGCATTCTCCAGATCTGCCTTTATGCTTGATTTCTGGTTGAGTGAAATTTCTCTTCATGTCAAAATCTTTCTCGGATGACCCGTTATTTCAAGCATTGATATTACACCAATTTTCCTCAACTGGGTTCGGAGGCATTCTTACAGCCAATTCTATGAATTGTTTTCCACCCTTCAACCACTTTCCTACAGACAACCTCTTGCTACAATATCACCATTTCCATCATAGATGTTTGGGTGAACTACATTCCTAGACTCTACCAGTTCAACTAGGACCCACAATACATGAAACTGACTAATCATTGACTCGTTCTCTCTATATTCCACTGATAAGGAATTTTTTTTTTCCACTCTAATAGCCTCTTCTCTAGAAATGTTGAAATGTGGAATGAACACATGAGAGGATGTTTCCCTGACCACTATAATCTTCATCTCTTCAAGGCTAAGGTTAAACATTATCTATCCTACATATTCTTGTAATATGCAACCTATATGCCCTTAGGATGCATGGTGGAGTAATCGATAGCAGCTCGGATTGAGGAATTGGAGAGCAGAGTTTGAATTCAGTCGAATCCATTCACTTACATGCTAATACCCTTGGGAAAGGTACCCTTCTACCGTAAAAAAGAAATGGGGAAAAAATCTGCTTCCTCAGTCATATATCCTCTACATGATTGCCTAAATGTGTATCATGCATAGTACATAACTTGCTGATGGGCAAATTAAATAGCAGGACCCTCTACCTTGGTTCTTAGGCCTTGGGTATGAAAGAGAAATTATACAAATGATGGATAAGACAGTGGTCTGACACGTGGTAAAAGATATCCACTCAGTTGTGGAGCAAGCTGAAAATTCAACATAGAGAATTTATGGTGCAATGGATGGCAACCTTGGCTGCTGGTACCTGGTGGAGGAAAAAATCAGTTTGCAGGATATGTATTAAGTTACAACCTCATCAGTCATTTTTTATTGTTATTATCTCAAAAATGGGTATGGCATGAGTTCTTTAAACCTGGCTGGTTGTGCGAAGTGTATCATGTTTGTTGCATGGTGTCTCAGGTACATCTTGAACTGAATTGTTGGTGTATCCAGTTTCCTGAAAATCCTATTCAGATCCGTAAACCTGATACGGTATTGGTGGTTGGGGAGGGTTTCAATGACCTGACCTGTTGTGTCCCATCGGCATTAATTATAATGAATTGAAGGGGTTTTAACCTGTTGTATCGCTCTATGGGTACAAACTTATCTCACGATTTTGTGCTGCGGTTATCCAATTATACAAATGATGGATAAGACAATGTGAAATGAGGTGCAAACTGGAAATGTTTTGTGCCTTCCCTTTATTTTTGTCTGCCAGCTGGACGCTAGTTGGAACTCTTACGCTAATTGCCTCAAACTGTTTTTTGCTTTATCCTCAGCCTGGCCCTGAGAGCGTTCTATGGTTTTCATTATAACAATGAATGTAAAGATAATATTAGTAGTTTCCTTATAAGGAAATATTTGGCATTCATTCAATGAGCGGTCAGTGCTACTTTCATTTGAAATTTATAAAATCTTTTTCTTAAAACAGTTTTTCTGGAAAATAGGTTTCTCAAGTCTCAATAGTGCGGAATGTTAACATCTTTATTTTCTCTTCTACTGTTTGCTTCCACTGTTGGAAGTCCTCAAGTGATGAGGTTTCTGTTATCTGGTACAGTTCTGTGACTTTGTAGCGCCAATCAACAAGGTCTGAAGAAGAACAGTCATCTCCACGAGCTACATGTTTTATTTGCTCTCGTCTTGAATATGACAATAAACTACATCCAGCAGCAAGGCCTCTGATCAGGAGATTGAAGGTTTTGAGAAGTGTGTAACTAACTCTTAATTGCTTTCCCAGGTCAACCCTAACCTTGGGTGGTAGCATCTGTTAGGGTCCCAGCTGTGGGCAAATAGTGACCCCCTCCACCCAAACTGGGATCAAAACATGAAAATATAAAAATACATTAGAAAAAAATTACCAACAATACATTTTATAGTAAAAAAAAAATATAAAAATAAAAAATTGCCAGCAACACATTTTCATATTTAAAAAAAAAAATAAAATAAAATAATTAACGGTAATACATTCATTACTGGAAAAAAAATTACCAGCAATACATTTTCACAGTAAGAAAAAAAAAAAAAAAAAAAAATTAAATTACCGGTAATACATCACTAGGAAAAAAAAAAAAAATGAAATTACCAGTAATACATTACTGAAAAAAAAAATTACCAGCAATACATTTTTTCAGTGAGAAAAAAAAAAAAAAATTAAATTACCGGTAAAACAAAACAAAAACATTTTCACAGTAAAAAAAAAAAAAAAATTTTTTTCAAAATTACCAAATGAAAGAGAATAAAATTTTGGTACTAAATGACCAATAAATAGTGGATATGCCATTAGACGACTAAACTAAACTTTACTCACTTAAAGCTGCTTTTAACCATTGATCTGAGAAAGCAGTACTAGACAGCTGAAAGTTTAAATAGTTGGTCTGGCACCAAGCATGACATCTATATGAAAGTCTATATCTGATGAGGATGTATAAGAACATGACTTGGAAAATTAGGTTAATGTTTTAGTTTTGTAATAATTTGCATTGTTGGTCAAAACTAAGCCTCAGCACAGCCTATTCTATGTTTAATTTCCTTATCTCCTATTTGTTATAACTGATCTGTACTCTGAAGTATTTGAATCATTTAGTATTTATTACTTCCACATTCTGAATTTTTATGATGGATCCAGGGTAGGTGCCATAAATGCTTTCATTCCACTTCCAGATTATAGTTATCTTGAGTCATACTTCTTGGAACTCCCTTCTGCTTACTTTATTCCATGATAAATACAATCTTCAAAAATTTAAAAGCAATGTCAATCATCGTTAGTCTTCTTGAATCCTGTTCATCTTTTCTCAATCATCACTATTCTCAATCTTCTCTTTTACTTTCACTCCCCGTCACCCTCTGCATACTAGTGGAATTACTGCCTTGCTTGGGATGAAATGATTAAACAAAAAAAAAACCCAAAAAAAACAAGGAACCACTCTGTAGATGATGATTTTGTAATCAAGACAAGATCATCTTTATCTAAACTATGAATATATATATATATATATATATATATATATATATAGACCTCTTATGTTGCGAGTTGGAATCATATTTTAAATAAATAATTATATATATATATATATATATATATATATATATATATATATATATATAAATATATGTGTGTGCTTGTAATGGCCCACTATTGTCATCAGCAAACTGGCCTCAGGAGGAAAAACAGGATCGTTGTTTCCTATTCATGATCAGAAAAAAAAATGTTAATATTAAATTCTCGCATATAATATGCATGGCTAACAGATCTGGAGAGAAGATGCATATTATACATGGATAATTATGGTACTCTTGGATTGCTTTGGACATTTTTTCATTTTTTTTTTTTTGCATTCATTTGAAGAGATGAATAAGTTATTTGAGTAGTTACAGATATTTCCAAAACATAGTTCACTTTTGGCACAGGGTTACAAGTACACGGTACCCAGTGAGAACCGAATTCATTAGTGACTGAGTGTGTGATCAGCTTAATAATCATCAGACCATAAGGAGGTATTTTAAGTGTAAGAGAGGTGTCTTATATCCTGAAAAACTGGATATAATTAATTTTTTAGAAAATCCCTGGCTAAAACAAACCTCCACTTT